TTGGACTAATATAATAATTAATAAATCCAAATATCACGTAAAATTCTGTCAGCAGAAAAATTATGGAATAAAAATCATGCTTGTATTATTGAAAATTATTAAATTGAACCTTAAAATCGCTTAAAAATTCGTTAAGAGAGAACTCAGATAGCAAGAAACCGATTCTAAAAATGATTTCAATCGTTGTCATAGCTTTCCAATACCAGTACAAGGTTCCAACTATACTTCTTTATCGTTGAAAGTCGTCAGTGAAGACGAATCTCAGCTGTAAAACGGAAAATAAAGTTCTCTGAATATCGCATAATCGTTCAGTTATATCGTCTTCTTTGCTCTTAAGAAATCTTCTAAAATTTGTTACGTCAATCCTGTACATTATTTGCCCGGTGTCAAAAAAGAAAAAGAAAGAAAAGACAATGTGATTTTTCATCAGCTGACCAACCGACGAATAACATTTAAAACGAATTTCCTTTCGATTATTTTCTTCTTCACTTTTATGAATCATGCAACGCCGCCTGACGCAAATTACCGGGCTTACATTGTTCCAGAATGATGTATAGCTTCGCGCTACGTCTTTGAAGGTAAAGGAACGTCCACGTCAATGGGGAGAGAACCATAGACAAGAGAAATGGCTCCCTTTGTACTGTTTACTACAGTTCTAAAATTAAACACTGCGAAGAAAATCACACTGCACGCGATGAACTGCTTCTTTTCTGAAAGCATGATCTCTATGTTAACACATTGCCAAATGTTATAATCGACTGGATGTCTTTCAAAGGATTATGAAAGGTCTGTGAAAGATTAATCAAATTTTAAGGACTAACGACGAGAGATTTTTGAAATAAGAATTAATAATGAGACTTGTAAAATTGCTTATAAGAATGGAAATATTAACATAAATGTGAATAATAAACAAGGTGTTCAAAATTCCTTTGCTTTTATAACTATAATATTGCTTCCCTTCCAGTGTTCTTATGATTAATTTTAAAGTCTACTTTATTATTCCCCGATTTTACTGCCTCTGAACAAATATAAGATAGAGAATCGAACTCCAGAAACACTCGAATAAAAACTTATTCTGTTAGACACATTCTCCATAAACCATTCGAACAATAAGCAATGAATCGCTTCGATCTACCTATATTTCCACTGAACGAAAGTTCACAGCTTTGATCTCTTTTCGAAAATGATCGCGACACTAGTTAAATGCTACAAAATTGATCGTAATTAATAGAAAATACCATCAGCTGAATGACAAACTGGGCACCTACCTCGCCTCGTCTACCCCGTCGTCGCGATCACCTTGCTGTATGTCCACGACACAAGGAATCACAATTCACGGTGGAGTGATGCAATGTTACACTAATCCAGAACAGTCATCGGAGCTGACCAAGTGATCCTGGTCGTGTAACACGTCAGTTGTGTTCCCCACGTAGCCGGAGAATTCGAAAAAACGATGATAACGATGGAATAACGAGGACGCTTGTGGAACCAGGTGCAATTCTCTTCGTTTCTACTTGTACATATGTACTGAATACGTCTATTTATAATACAAGCAGCGAGATTTAAATTTGATGAGACTCGCACGACATAACCCGTGTCTCTCCTATCCGTGCACTAGGTCCACTGGCCCTTCTTCTTTTTCACCATTCAGTTCAATTTCCTCTAGAACCTAACCAGGGGATCTACAACTACGGTAAAATGATATGTTTGGTTGCCAGACGCCCAAGTCGCTCTGCCGGGTATCCTCCCTTCTTTATAGGATGTTCCACTGTCCTTCCTGTTTTTCACCGTTCTACTCTTGTTTTGTCAAGTTGATTCCTTGGAATTTTTAATAAACTGTTGTGTTAGCTCACTAGCCGGCTATAAGGTGAGAAAGACGCAGCTGCCGCTTTCTAAACTAACGAAAATTCCGGCACACACGACTCTCTTTCGCTCTCGCGCTCGCGCTCACACACGGCTCCCGGTGCTGCTGGCCAGAGTCACATTTTAATGCAACACACACGGGTAGCGGTGCTCCGTGGGGCTACGCTCTCTCTCAGTTTGCCTCCGTCTCTGTCCGCCTTGATCAACCCTCTATCCGCCCCTATACGCCCAGCCCCACCATCAACGATCCCCACCAGCGAATAACCCCCTGACGGTACACCCTCAACAGGGTGGTGATGGTGGTGGTGGTAACGATAGTGGTGATGGGTAGGAGTTACATTGATTACTGTGGGTTCATTAGGTTTACTGGTTCCATTGATTTTAGCGAAGATACTGATTCTAGTAGTTCAAATGGTTCCACTGGATTCACTGATTTCATTAATTCTACCAATGTTACTTCATCATTTAGGGGTTTTGCTAGTCCACTTGCGAGATTTTCACCAGTTTTACTACTGATTCTAGTATATTCGTTGATTTCACTGAGCAGACTGAGTCCATTAATTTGAGCAGCTATGGATATTTAAATATATCTAGATAACAGAAGAAAGAAAATACCGAATATTATAATTTGTCGTGTGTATTACAATATTGCAAATAATTGTAGCGAAAACGTATAAATGGCATACTACCACGGGCAAAAATTGATCATTAAGTGTCAAACATAACATTAGAGTAATGGCTTAGAATTGCAATTATTATTAGTGTTTTGTCATATTACATCTAAACTTTCCAACTGATTCTTTAGGTTTCTCTTTTAGGGATTCCTTAGATAGTTAATTATTTTATTAGATAAAATAATTATTTTATGGAAAAATGTTACTGAACATCAGGTCAATCCCATCACTAGCACCCCCTGAAACACCCCTACCAAATGCTACACCGCTGATTCTCTACTATGCTTCTCCTTCTCAAACCGATAAAACTTGGTGGTGTATTATCTCCAGTGGCACCCTGTTCTCTAAAATATTCTACAAATCTCCTTCGCAAATAAATAATAATCTATAAAAAATAGAAATTATTTTTTAACCTTCTCTAAAAAGATAAATACAACAAACTTTTCATTCATTTAAACTACTTTTAATCATCGTAATTATACATAATTGCTAACAAACTAATAAATACTTCGTAACTAAAGCAGTTAATACTTTGCATACAACGTAAAACCGTTTTAAAATTAATTAATTATAAAAATTGTCCCGAAGCATAAGATTCTTTTAATCCAGGTTTAAAATTCTCAATTCCAACTTCCATCATTTTCATAATTCTAATTCTAACTCACAGAAACATCAAAATAGAGTTCCCTTGAATGCTCTTTCTATGTTAATGAAAAGTGATTATTTTGGAATAATTAAGTTCTAGAAAAAAAGAAAAAATTATAATGTATATTTACTTTCTTGAATAATGTAAAAACTGTTTAATAACAAATAACTAGATAATTAATATAATAAATTTAGAACTAAAAAATTGTACAAATTATTTAAACTGGTTAGTAGTGTAATTAATAAATTACAAAAAATTTGTAGTCTCGGTAAACTTATTGTTAACTAAAAAAATAAAAAATTCTTAACTTTGATGAATTATAACTTCCCCAAAATTTATAAAGATTATCTAACATTTTCTATCTGCAAATTAACTATGAAGAACCAAAAATAAGTTATTTAATTAGAATTAACTTGCTCAAACTACAGATAGATCACAATAGTAACAAGAAACCCAGAAATGATACATGTCTGCACCACCCCCACATAGGGGACAGTTTATCCCCATTGAACGAGCCACCCCTGCCGCACCATAGCTTCGATAGCACCCCCGGCTCAATGGTGTACGCAGACGTGGTATCTAAATACGTCCATCTAGACCGTGTCTGTGTTTCTGGTCCTGGTTGAATGGACAGAACTTGTGTTGATCCGTGAACCCGTAAGAGTAGCAACGAAGCTGACTGAGATTGCCATAAGCTCCAAGTCAAATTTGATGTCACTCCAAATAATAAAACTGCAAAAAAACAAAAATATTAAGCCATACTTTACGCTTACAAAATGAATTGCAATTTTCTAATAACTATTAATTACCAGGAACGTAATCCAAATAAATAATCCAAAACTTATTTTACTTAATCCAACAGAGTCACTGAAACAAAAACGTTACTTTGAATAAAAGTATAATTGTACAAATACAAAATAATCTCTAAGATGAAATTATAATTACAGGATTAATTGAATAATTAGAATAAATATAACTGACTATGGCGTAGAAATTACATTGTCTCATTAAACCTTTAAAAAGAAAAATTCTGTTCTTGATTAAGGTTATATAAATAGTTAGGATTGGACCTAGGTTACATTTAATTTTGAGTTAAATGTTCTCTTCATAGAATCTCATAAAAAATTCCGTTAGAAAACAGAAGTATTTGATAGGTAGAATGAGAAAGGAAATGAAACATCGCTCGATCAATAGATTTCAGTGTGATAATTATAGTAAATGCATTGAATTATTTGGTTCCGGAGACTTCCAAGTCGAATACTCCGAGAACTATGCGAGGTGGAAAGTCTTGTGTCTGCTTTCACACCCAACCTAACGTCCCAACAGATCTGTAAAGAAATGAAAGAATTTGAAATCTTGATCCTCTTATAAAAACAACAATGTAGCATCTCTCATCAATAACAGTAAATAAAATGAAGAATAATGTCGAAATCGAAGTCGCAGTATCTAAAAATTAAAAGTAACTTTAATTTTATTTATTGAATTTACTTGGAGAATCGGCAAAAGAAAATTGCACTTCCGGAAACTATTTATAAGAAAATAAATAATATTTACAAATTATAAGACCTAACTTACATAAAAATAATAAAAAGTATTGTTAAGCTAATGTTGAAACTAAAGTTGACATATCCATAGTTACGCCCTTGGTTCTACCCCTAGCGTCCATCTCTACGTTTGTCCCTACCTCTACCCATTCTCCCCACTTTGCACCTAAAGGATTCTCCTATTGACGTTCCACCCCCTTCATGATTCCCCCTGCTTCACCATGTCGCCTTCCCCAGCACACCCACGCGTACTATTCCACTTGTGTACCACAGACCACGTTTTGACGTAATATTGTTACGTCAAGACGACATCGTACGCCGGCGCATGTACAATCTTTCGATGCACCTACTCGTCTATTCTCTCTTAACCGTGTAAAACAGTGAGTCTACGAAAATACTTGAAAAAAATATTTAGGAAAACCACCAGTAAGTGCAACCAGTAAGAACGAAGAAAGAATCATCACTTGCATACCTAATTTTACATGAAAATTTTTGTAAACAGCACTAACGGAAAATGAATTCGATGTTCAATTTGAATAATTAACCAATTTTCTATGAACAAAAATATAATGAAGAGAGATAAATATTGATGAAACCTTATAAAAATTAAAAGATCATACTAACAGTGATAATATATCGATTCTTACAAAAGTGATTTCGATTCTTAAATATCGCAATTTCCTTACAATAATATAACTCTCGATATTTCGATAATCGATCTTGATAAATTGAGTTTTTAACCTTTTCGTTTATATAATATAATTGTTGTATAATTAAATAATAAATCAAGTTATAATTTAAACTATAATAATATTAATTATCTTAAAAATATAATGAAAATGTGATATAGCATTTTATGTTTATTAATTAAGTATTCAAAAATATATAACCAAAAAACAGAAGTAACATGTTACGTACACTAACGCATAGAAGATTCGTCTGCTCTTTATTTTTTCCATTTAGTTCTTCATCTGACCAAAATTTTGGTGAAAAATGGTCAAAAATATGGAAAGAAAAAATTATGGTCAATCTTAATAATCACTTATACGACGAGTAAGAACATTCATTTAATTTATATTCATTACTTTACTAAGCAGTTTATGTTATAGTTTACTAAACTTTATTGTATTATTAATTCTAAATAGAAAAAGACATCTATCCAAAGAAGCACAATCAGTTGTCAATGCAACGACTGCAGGTTTTGTCACAGGTTTTATTCTAGGTGGTATAGCTAAAGCAAAAGATGTACCAGAGACTTATAAAGCAGAAAATCAAGCAACTGTTTACCAGCATAAATTCGATGCTTACAGAGAAATTCAATATAAAGTAACCTTAAGTTTAATAAAAGGAGGTCTTTCATTTGCTCTGAAACTTGGAACATTTTGTTTCTTGTTCTCGTAAGATATATAAGTACATTTTATTATTGCCTTTTAATTATGTAAATATAAATTAACATAATATTTCTCATCAGGAGTATATCAGCAATTTTTTATATTTACAAAGGGAAATTTGATGTAATAAGTTCCACGTGTAGTGGTGCTATAACAGGCTGCTTATACAAAATAAATATGGGATTAAAAGGAGCATTTGCAGGTACTCTACTTGGTTCAATATTAGGAACTATTTATGGTATTTCAACAGCCCTCATTTTATTTATAACTGGAGTTGAAATGGATGAATTATATGAAACTGGAAAGTTATTTCCAAGTACAAGACGAGAGTAAGTTTTTACTATATTAATTTAACATAAAAATAAAGTTTGTATTAATTCCAAATATTATCATTACAAATTAATGTCTATGTATTAGAAAAATAAGAGAACAGACAAGAAAACTAATGGCAGATGAAAAATCAGAACTACAAATGTTATATGAACAGAAGTATGCATCGGTAAATACAATAAAAAATGAAGAAAAACAGTAGAAAAGTGAAAATTTAAAAGATAAAAATTTAATAACAAATGAATGTGTCAATAGCGTACATTTATATGCACTATAGATTTGCATCATTATTATATAATTATTACATCAAATTTTATGTATAATACTTATATAAATAATAATAAATAAAAAAAAAAAACCTTTTGCTCTCTGATTATATCACAAAGAAAAAAGCAAGCTTATGTTATCTAAAATAGATAAATTCTTTCCTGACTAAATAAGAACATCATCCTGTAATATAACAATCCTTAAGTAAGTTATTATTATAACAATCCTTATTTACATTCTGATGATATTTTATTAATTTAACTATAAATAAATATAGTATAAATATAGATTTGATAACGCGTTACAGAATAGGCCTGATATTCAAACGAAAATAAATAAAATCTATTCATTTATGATTGGGATCTAAAAGAAATATGACTCTGCATAAAGTACTTTTTCAATTGTATGAGAAATAATACTATTTACTAAAGGAAAAAATAAAATATATTTATTTTTTAACGAAAAAGGAACATAAATGTGTTTGTATATATCTTGTATATATGTGAGGGGCGCGTGCGTAGA